TGAACCGATTTTCTGGAATCCATTTTATAGCCCTTGGATAAAGCAATTCTTTCTTTCCACTTTCCGGAGTCAGCGGAAGTGGGGCGAAGACCTTGGCACGGGGTTTTGGAGAGATGGAATTAGTTAAGGCGCAGGGAAAGGGAAGCACTTGTCTGTGGCCCTGTCCTGTCCTGTCCCAGGACACACACACACACACTCACACACACACACACACACACACACACACACACACACACGGGCAGGAGACAGTTTGTTCGCTGCCGCCACAGAGCCTCCTTTCTTCTCCAGGAAAAGTGACTCTTTCACAGCCCTTAGAGGCAAAGGGAATGGAAAGTCCCACAGCATCATGAGCCCCTCTCCCCTCACGCAGGCTCTCTGCCTCTCAAGGTCAGGGGCAGAGCTTGCCTTTGCATGCAGGCTAGGCTAGTCAGAGGGTCCCCCTCCGTGTGTGCAGCCTGGTGCAGGGCGCAGACCAGGCTTAACTGAGGCTTTTCTGAGAAGCAGCTGAGCTCAGACCCTGCCGGCTCCACATTCCTGCATGATGAGGGAGGGACTCCAGTGTTTACTTTGAACAATGTTTTCCTGTGTCTGAACCGAACCCACTACGTGTTAAATTCTTCCAGATTTCTGGCTCCACACTGCAGCTCCAGCGGGACAGAAACAGGTTTACTGCCATTGGCAGAGGAGCGATCGCAGGGTTGGTCTGGACACCTTCTGCGTCTGCGTCTAGAATTTCCACTCGGTGGATGGAAAAGCCGATCAGTGCCCCTTTGGGCGCAGCGCCTGGGAGGGATGTGCGGTCTGGATATAGTAGCACACTTGGTTAGGCTAGTGCCTTTCGTATTTCCTACCCCAGAGGGCAAAAGTTAGCTTTTCTCCTTTGAGTGGCATCCGGGAATGAGAACAAGAGCGTTTTGAAGGTCGGGGCTGGCTGTGTTTTCTTGGGTAGGGTAAATCCAGAAGGAATGCATTTGGTGGGATGTTAATGACCTACAACACATTCCAGTTCTTGGGCCTGTGCTGTGAGAGGAGGGACAGGGACGCAGGGGTTAGAAATGGAGGACAAACAGGTGCAGGAAAGCCCAGTTCTTACTGCTGGTATCCAGGTAGCACAGAGAGGCAAAGTGACATGGGTGTGGGAAACTGGACTCGAGGGTGGGTCCTCCACCACAGCTGAATAAGACCACTGGGGAGGGGGTGCGGCGAGTCACAGGGGCCTTCTGTGTGGAAAACAGTTTCTTTACTCTTGTGTTGGGGATGATGAGCAACTTATGGAAAATTCCCATGGGGGTCCTTGAAGATTTGGGCTTTATGGAATCCACTGCGGAGCTCCACACTCCAGGCAGGAGCGTACCTGTCAGCCCAGACAGCTGATGTCTAAGCAGGGCATGTGTCAGTCAGATCTTTTAAGCCCACTCTGTTCTAGAATCTGTGCTCTCAGATGATGGGAAACCTACTCCTAAGTCCCCCTCATAATCCTCTGTGTGTGTGTGTGTGTGTGTGTGTGTGTGTGTGTGTGTGTGTGTGCTCTCATAGTAGGGAAGGAAGATGGACTTTGGTCTTGAAGGCGTAGGTAGAACCCAGGTAGTGTTTATGTAGCAGTATTGAGAAAATAGTCCTGTGATAAGACCTAGTGTTTTGATCTTGACACTTTCAAAAAACCATTTGGATACGATGTACATTTACTTCAGAAAGAAAAAATAAAATTTCAGTGCTTTATATGCATCAAGGAATGTGTGAGGCAAGCACCTTAACCATCCAGAGCTTCTCTCCTATACTTGGCTCCATCCCTACTCCAACCCTGGTCCCTCGGGGCAGCATTGGTGCATCTACTGTGCCCACATGGTCTTGTCAAAATCAGCTTTGTTAGAAGCACACCTTCATTTATGGAGCAGTCAATAGGCTTCAATTCCTTACACACTGTATTAGTTACTCTTCTCTTTGCTCTCACAAATTAACCCCAGAAAAGCAGCCTAAGGAAAGGGCTTACTCTGGCCCATGGTTTGAGGGCACAGTCCATCATGGCAGGGAGGTATGGCGGTGGGAGTGAGGCGGCTGGTTTCATTGCGTCTCCATTCTGAAAACAGAGAAATGAATGTTGGTGTTAAGTTGATTTCTCCTTGCAGCCTCTTTTGTTCAGTGGTGACCCAGCTTACAGGATGGTGTCACCCATATTCAAGATGATTCCTTGTCCCTCAGTTAAATCTCTCTGGAAATGGCCTTACAAATGTGTACAGAGGTGCGTCTCCTAGGTGATTTAAAACCCACTCAAGTTGACAGCGAAGACTAAAACCATGACACGTAGAAGCTCACTTCTTTTGGTAGGAAATTCTATTGTCTCCTAGAGATGGGAGTGAAGGAATGAGGAACTATCCAATCTCTCCCAGTGCTGCCAGCATAGGAAATCCTTCCTGCCTCAGTCTGGCTCACAGGCTGCTTTTCTTAGACTACCTGGCAAAGAGCCTAATACTGGCTATTTCTCACTATGTAACAAGTTACCCTAAGTTTAGTGACTTAGTACTTTGAGCTCACTGTGTGTGTGTGTAGTGGGGGAATCTGAATGTGTTTTTTTTTTTTCGAGACAGGGTTTCTCTGTATTGTTTGGGAAGCTGTCCTGGAACTAATTCTTGTAGACCAGGCTGGCCTGGAACTCACAGAGATCCGCCTGCCTCTGCCTCCCGAGTGCTGGGATTAAAGGCATGTGCCACCAACGCCTGGCCTGAATGTGCTTTTACTGTTTGCCTCTGTCTCCTGGTCTCTAGGAAACAAGAGTTACAGTTTTGGTTGAGGTTATGGTTTCATGAGAATCCACTTCCAAATGGCTCACCTGGTTGTTCTTATTGGTAAACTTAAGCTCTTTATCAGCTAAGGGCTTCAGTTCTTTCCTTGGCTGTGGGCTGAAATCCCTCAGGTCAGATTCACTACCTGGGGCAACTCAACAATGGCAGCTTCTATCTCAGAGTAAGCAAAGGGGCTCATCATGTGCAAAGAACTGATGAAGCTGGAAACCAGGCAGATAGCTCAGTGGTTAAAGCCTAGCAAGGCTGCGGACCAGAGTCTGGATCCACAGAACCCGTGTCAACGACGAATGGGTGAAAAGGCCCACCTGTAACTCCAGTCCAGGAAAGCAGACAAGGGATCCCCAGAGCAAGTTGACTGGTGAGGCTAGCCACACCAGTGAGTGCTAGGCTTGCTTGAGACAGGATCCGCCTCATTGAATAAGATGGAAGAATAACCAGGGATGATTCATGACATCAACTTCAGGCCTTCACGTGCACCCCGCACCCCCAAGCGTGTCGCTCACATACACTTGAAAAAGAAAAGATAGAAGCCGATTTTCTAACTTTGTCTCAGATGTGACTACCTTTTTCTTTGACTATATTCTGTTAGAAGTGAATGTCCCCAGACACAGTCGTGCTTAAGGATAATGTGTAAAGGTATGAACTGTAGGCTGGGAATGGTAGTGCTTGCCTTTAAATCTGCACTGTGGTGGCAGATCTCTGGGGATCTGTGGCCAAGCCAGTTTACATAGCAAGTTTTAGGACAGCCAAGACTTCATAGTGAGACCTGATCTCAAACATCAACCACAAACAATGAAAAAACAAATAGTAGGAATGGTAGGAATATTAGGAGATGTGATCATTGGGGTACCATCTTGTAGTCTGTCTAGCACAGGTCGATGGGCCCATTTGCTGTTGAGTCTCTATTTAGCCCTGGACACTAAGGTTTACTCAGTGTGTGTGTGTGTGTGTGTGTGTGTGTGTGTGTGTGTGTGTGTGTGTGTGTGCTCTCTGTGTATTTGTGTGTGTGTCCTGCTGTCCAGCACTTCTAAGCTACAGGCTATGAGAGGCACAGGAATGAGCTCATTGTTTGCCATTACTCTTCCTGGGAGGTGGCTTCCTTCATTGGTATAGCATATCAAATAGGTAAATATTTCTGAGTTTCCAATCTAGTTGCACTTAGCTTCCACCCCAGGGAAACAAGGTGAGCTCTATACTTCACCAACAGAAGCCTGCAGTCTTTGTCCTCTCTGAAAAACATACTACTCTGTGTGCTCTGGAGGTCATCTTGTTCTCATCCTGGACAGCACTGTTGGTAGCTTTCTGGTTTATTATGAAACCAGACTGAAGTTATAAATATAGTTCGTGCCAGTAGCTCAGGGGTTTGGTCTTCATGAAAGCCAGGAATCTAGCTCTTTGTGGCTCAGCATCACATTCCATCAGTTAGGATGCTACCTGTCTTGAGTGAGGACAGGGTCAAAAATACTCAGAAAAGTTGTTCAAGGCACATAATGAAGAGGTATACTAGTTTGCATTTCTGTTACTGTTATAAAATACCCCAGTCAAAGTTGAGACTACCTCGGGGGACCCTAGGCTGGGTCAAGTCAACACCTGAAGCTTACTAGGACAAGAGGGGAAGCTGGATGGTTTCCTGACTTCCATTTTTTTTGTTTCACTTTTTGACTCCATTAGCATTGTTTTCTTACCTAAGTCCCAGATTATTTCCTGTATAATGTTTCTTGACCCAATTTTCCTTATGAAGCCACAGATACTCAAGAAGAGAAACAGGCCTCAGATGGGATAAGGAATGTCAAAGGTGTAAGTGTATGTGCAGGTGTTATAGATATGACTGGTGACTTACACAGGTGTGTATGTATGTATTCATGAATGCACATGTGCACGGCTCACACACTCTTAGGCTCAGAACTATGTGTGTTTAAGTGCATATGTCTGTGTGGCTGCAGGTGAACACAGATACTCCAGACTTGCCTGAGCTTAGGCATCAGTTCCAGAGAGTGTTATTTTGGTAGACAGATTGTGTAAGCAGTGCTCTTGGCCCTTGAAAACAAAATGGGTGGGCCAAGATGGGTGGTGGGGGGATCAGTTTTGATGAGGGGGTCCCATAAGTACATCTTCTTATGTGTTTTTTCAAGCCTCTCATTTTTTTTTCCATGCAGTGACTCATTTTTGGTGAGATTAATTTTGTTGTTAATTTTTCAGACCTGGACATTGCATCATGCTGTGTTGGCACTGTGGGAGACACCGCATCCTGAATATTAACCATGATGACAATAGCCTAACTAAGAGGCCCTTAGTGTGTGGCTAAATCTGTGTTTAGTACTCAATGTGAATTAGCGTATTCATCTTCCCAGCAACCCACAAGTCCTCTTACTGCCTCTGTGTGAAAGGTGAGAAGTCCAAGGCTTAGGAATTTCAAGTATCTTATTCTTGATCAGACAGCCATGTTCCTGGTCTTTCTTGGGCTCATCCTGTTAATTTTGTGCTATACTTTATTCAAAACGAACTGCTTGGTGTGCAGTATCATCACAATGGAAACATTGGTGAATTCACTCAGTCGCCCCCTGGAACGTCAGGGAGAGGGCTGTCTCTCAAAGGTCAAGCCTTTGCCCGGGAGAGGACACCCACATGACACTGCAAAGGGCTTGTTCCTGGATCCTAGAAGTATTTGATGCATCCCTCTACCATGCCGTAGAGACACATTAAAACCTTTGTTGTTTAGTTGGATTCTGGCTCGACAAAAACATTCTTTTGTCAGGACTCCCAGATTTCCTGGCATGGTACCCACACATATTTTCTACGTGGTTAGCAGTTCTGCCCTGCTGTGTGCTACTTGTGTATATTCATGCCTAGAAAGATTCCTGTAAAACTGCTAATTGCAAATTGCTCTCCAACTTAAACAACTTCTTTCCTGGTCTTTAGGGAAGGAGACACTGCTCTTTTAATTGGAGGTCAGGGTTTTCTGTTCTCCCAGGACTATCCATTCACCTTAGTTACATCACATCTTTTCCACTTTGTGTTTCTCATTCTGTATTTGCAGGGATTTGCAAGATCTGGGAGAAGTCAGGATAATGAAAGGTTTGGATGGGATTGTCCTACAAATAAAGAGGTGCATTCAGCATTTAGATTTATACTCAACATTTGGTAAGAAATAGAGTCAAATAACTGTTGGTGTCATGTTGGGGATGGATGGATGTGTGGAGATGAAATGGAGAAAAGACTGCAGAAGTAACCAATGGAAACGGAGGGGGAGGGTGCCAAGTGACGCAGGAAGAGATTTGTACTGCATGCTTTCGTGAAAGCTAAGTGGGAAAATGTTTCTAAAGTATAAGAATGCTCAGCTCTGCCAAAGACCATTATGTTTCCAGAGATGAGAGGGTAGAGGCCTGGGTCATAAGTGGAAAGCCATTCTTCGATAATAGTAGGGTCACTTCATCCACCTAGTGGAAGGAAGGAAGGCAGAATGGTTGTGAGTACATGGTCAGAAGTTGGTAGGAATTTTAAAGGGAGATGAGAGCATTCTTGGATCTTTCTGGAATTAGAAAAGACAGTAGCTGAGAGTGAGGAGAGAGAAGCAGGTGACAGGAGTTTGAAACCTTTTCTTTGGAAATGAGAAAGTGAAAAGAGTAGTTAAGGGGAGACTCTGGGGTGGCCTAGCAACGGGACATGCTTCTGAGACTAAGTCAGTAAAGGCGTTGGCAGCTAGATAGCCTGAGTGCGAATTCCAATTCCTGTCATTTAGTAGCTGTGTGACCTTGGGCAGGTTACTCCATGAACTCTACAGGCTCTAGTTTCTTTGCCCGTGATGTGGGGATAAAACTGATTTTTGTCAGAATTAATTAGCATAAGATGTTTAGAGTGTGCTTGGCACCCAGGACAGCATAGAAATGTCAGCTGTTCACATTTCATGTGAGACTCCAGCACAGTCAGAGTCATCTTCTGGCAGGTCTAGTGGCTGAGATGGGGGCACTTGAGGAAGGACCAGCTTTTGTTTAACTGGTGCTGGGGCTTTGTCATGAAAATGTGGTAGACAGAGGGGGCAAGATGGTGTATTAGTTCCTTTCTTATCCAGACAAAGGCAACGTGACAAGGATTTGCTTCTGCTCAAAGCCGAAAACCTGAGAAGAGATGCCATCCACTATGGCAGAGAAGGCATAGCTCAGGGGTATAAGACAGCCTGTCACATTGCACTTACAGCCAGCAAACAGAGAGAGATGGTTTCTGCCATCAGCTTGCTTCCTCCTTTTCACTTAGCAGAGGATCCTAGCTCATAGCATGGTGCAAACCATATTCAGAATGGGTTTTTTCCTCCTGAGCTAAACCTTTCTGGAAACACCCTCAGATAGATCCAGAGGTGTGCTTCCGCATGGACTCTAAATCTAATGAGGTTGACAATGAAGAGTAACCCTCACAGGTGGGTTGCCTAGAATAATAATTTGGGAGCTTGGAATTTAAATAGGATACAGCAGAATGTAAGGACGCTATGGAGATGGATAGACAGGTAGGCAGACATTGATCATTGGAGGTGAGTAGTTCCAGGGATGCTGAGGCTAGAAGTTTGCATGGAACTCCGACATGAAGCCCTGCTAATAGTGATAGTGGTGGGCCAGGAACTAATACTGTTATAATGTGACTGAGACTGGGGACCAGGTCTCAGAAGACACCAACACCTGGTGAGGAGAAGGCTTGTGTAGTCTGGTGGCATGACGTTCAGAGGAGGACCAAGGAAAGAGAATGACTTGAGACTCGCAGGAGAATAGATCAAGAACCTGCTCTCAGGCAGAAACTTGTGGACTTGGTTGGCAGCAGGGGTGGGGGACATCTGGGCTTCCTTTCACAGTCTCAGGAGACTGTTATGGGGCTAGGAGATAGGATACATTCTTTGCTTTTTTCCAATAAAACACATCTAGCAGAACTTCTGTAAATTGGTGTGTGTGTGTGTGTGTGTGTGTGTGTGTGTGTGTGGTGGTGATGGTGGTGGTGGTGGTGGTGGTGGTGGTGGTGGTGCTGATGTGTAGTGTCTCCTAATTTCAGCCCCAACCTCAGCCTCACTTTTCCAGATCTTGAATGTAATTTGATCAGGTTATCCCAAGCCCTTTGATCCCTGATGATTACTTACTATCATGTGGTAAGTGCTATATATATTGGGGCCATTTCCCCTGCCTCCAGCGATGGGTATTTAGAGTGTAAAGTATGTGTATACATGTCTTTGTGCACATACATGTACATTTGTATGTAAGTGGGCCCATGTGTATATGTGTTTATGTATACACATGGACACAAGTCTGTACCTATTTGTGCACGTATATATGTTCAAATACATATATCAACTCATATTCAGATGCATGTGTGCACATACATGTATATTGTGTGTGCACAGGGCAGACTTATGGCTGTAGATGGGGATTGTCTTAGTTAAGGATTCTATTGCTGAGCTGAAACACTATGACCAAAAGCAACTTGGGGAGAAAAGGGTTTTTCATCTTGCAGATTGTAGTCCATCATCAAGGGAAGTCAGGTCAGAAACTTGGAGGCAAGACGTGAAGCAGAGGCCATGGAAGAATGCTGCTTATTGGTTTGCTTCCCATGGCTTGCTTTGCTCATCCTGCTTTCTTATACAACCCAGGACCATCTGCTTGGGGTTGGCACTACCCACTGTAGACCGGTCCCTCCCACATAAATCATTAATCAAGAAACCCCACAGGCAAAATTGCCTGTAGGTCAGTCTTCTGAAAGCAGTTTCAACTGAGGTTTCCTCTTCCCAAGTGATTATCTTTGTGTCTAGTTGACTTAAAATTAACCAACATGGAGATACTGTATTGAAGAGTATCTTTAATATTGGGATGCAGTATTGAAGGGTTTTGGTATCCCAGAGCTAGTTGTCTTGCCTTTTATATTTTAGGCAGTACATAAAAATGTTCTTTTCTTTTTTCAGGGGGCGGGTTTGAGACAGGGTTCCTCTGTGTAGCTTTGGGGCCTGCCTTGGAACTAGTTCTTGCAGACCAGGCTGGTCTCGAACTCATAGAGATCTGCCTGCCTCTGCCTCCTAAGTGCCGGAATTAAAGCTGTACACCATCACTGCCCGGCTACATAATGAGCTTTAAATAGGAGAGTGATACAATCAGATCTTGCTCATTTTCTTTCCCTGCTTACAGATCACACCTATTTAGTGCTTGGTACTCAATGAGCCACCAGTATGTATTTGTTGAAGGAATGAATGCATTTATAAAGTTTCTACCTGTAGCTTTCAAATGGAGAATAAACCAGAAAGAGAATAAAGTAGGAAGACATGTTCGGGGAACAGATTCTGAAATTGAGGTGCAGGAGTGAAGGAGGAGTTTAGTCCCTATTTCCACTTGGGTGACCCGGAACAGGCAGGGTAGGCTGCTGTCCAGTGAGTCTGTCTTTACCTTCTCAGCACTGCCTTCATACTCAACTTTTCCCCTCGGGTCCTAGGGATCCAACTCTCCTTGTGCTTGGAAAGCAGTCTTTACCAACCAAGCCTTCTCCCCAATCCAGATGCACTCTTTATTCACTTCTGAGGCCAATATTGATGTTGTCGAACCTAATTTTGTTTGTGTTTACAACTTGAGTTTGGACAGACAGATATATCTGTGATAGCCTTCCTGTAGGAAAGGCATACACCTATCAGAGCATCTGGTGCCCCTTTATTGAAATGTGAGATCTGTCCTCAAAAATTTAAGGGAACACTGTGCTAGCTGTGGGTACAATGCATTAGGTGGATCTCCAGAACTTACTCCCTCACATAGCTGAAGCTCTGCCACCAATGAACCTTCAGAGTGGAATCCTACAGTGTCATTTTGGCACTGGCTTAGTTCACTAACTGTAACTTGAGTGACAATTTCTCAAAGACGCAGAAGCTTCCTTAAGGGCCTCTGTGTGAGATGCATTTGTGTGACAGTGTTGGGCTGTGCTCTGTTACTGTGGGGACATGTGATGCTGGTGGCCTCTTCACTAAACAGCTCAGGCCCGCTGTGGTTTTGGTTTGTTTCCCATGGCTCTTCAGGCTGCGAGGCAGTCACCTGGCATCTGCCAAAGGAGACTTCCGTAGGCTGGGGTGCTTTGCACCTGTTGATTTGGAGATGGCTCCTGGTGGTTTCCACGATGCTTCTGCAGCTTGAGCTCTGTTCTTTCTCATTGGTCCTGTTGCTTTTCTTCCTGTCACATCACGAAGCACCCAGATCTCCTGTTTACCTCGTGAATACCTCCCCTCTGTCTGCAATCTCCTTGTCCACAGTAGACATGGCCACATGAACAGTCTCCTGGGGTGCTTTTGTTTATTTATTTGATTTTGTTTTATTTATTTCTTGGTACCAGGCATTGAATGTAGGTCTCTGTGTATTCTTGGCAGAGTGTATAACCTCCACGAGCTATAACCCCTGAGCTATAATGAAGTTTTTACTTTTTAAATAATTTTTTAAATTTAGAGTCAGTACTTACCTAGTTACTAGACTGGCCTTGAACTTGTAACCCTCCAGCCTTAGCTTCCTGAGCAGCTGAGATTACAGGCCTGAGTCACCAGGTGAACTGATTCTTTCCAGCTCCTTCTTTGAACTTCTGTGACAGGAATAACAACTGGGGGCTTTTGCCATATCGTCCTCCAGTGTGAAGATCTTCCCTGGAGGCTTTGCCTTGCTTCCGTGGTGGTCACAGGATCCATCTTGTCTCCTATTCTTATTCTTATTATGGGCTGTACTGAAATTAGGAGGAGACCTGGAGCTGGTAATTGTGGGTTCTGGAGTCCACCAAGCAGACATCTCACCTGTTTGTTTGTTTGTTTTATTGTTTGTCCATGGATATAAGGAAGGAGGAGGCTGGGAGGAGGACAGAGCTCATCTCACAGTGGAGGGGAAGTGCCTTTGGCGTGTGGCAATCTTTGCTGGGGAGAAACCTTGAACAGGCAGCATTAGCTGTGCTGAGCCTCATAGAATCAGAAAGCTGTTTGGGCTCTGTATTTTAAAAGACGCTGCTCATAGTGGCTAAAACTGGAAACACCTTAAAATCCCCAAACAGAGGCATCATGAATAATGATTCATTCCTTGCATGGATTGTTGAGTAGCCTCTAAAATAATTATGAGGGATCTTTAACACTATGAATAAATGAAAGATAGTGACCGAGACAA